GTTTGCACCCTACGACTGCAAGTAGAATGCTGTTCCAAAACCTCTGTACTCCAATTACCAGGAATGTTTTGGTAAACTTACTGCAAATTTATACTCGTGTATTCTTGTGCCAACTTTATTCTCTAACTAAAAAGGGTTTTCTCTATTCTGTTCTTTCTACTGTTTTTATAACAAGTTCCTTCATTTTCTCTCAGGTTTTGATTTTCTAGGTTAGTCAAACCAAGTCTGTAGTCTCCTCTTGTAAATTCAGATTTTTATTGATCATTTCAATAGTCATTTTTCTGTGTCTGTTCCAGTTTGAATGACCTTTGTTGAACAGAAGAGACTGCACAAGGTGCCAGAGGAGGCCCTAGTGTAGCTGTGTGTTGCACAGCTACTGAAGTCTTATTCTCTTTCTAGTGGAAACCTTTCCCTGATGTCACTTGAGGTTTTTTTTCTTTTGAACTGGCACATTTTCACACTGTCATCCTGTGGTTGCCTGATAAAACCAGGTCCATCTCCCAAGCTGTTTGATTGACAGGCTTCCACCACGCTGCAGAACTTGTGTTACTGTTGTGTTATTTTTGCTGCTTTGTTTTACTGACTCTTGCAATATTTCTGTTATCCTAGTTCTCATGATCAGCCTGTTGCTTTCTATATTGTATTCTCTTAGCTTTTGCTTATCTAATTGTATCATGATTCCTGTGATGTGTCATTAATTAAAACACAGAACATGATTAGTCCCAAGAGAGTATCCAGAATACAGAAGATATAATCCCCGTTCCTTAATGCAAGTAAGATAAGTATAAATGAAGGTTATTCAGCCAAATGTTTTGAATGATACCTTAAGATATTTCTGTCTATTCAGACTCAATAGCTGTTTTTCTGGGCTGTATCTGTGTAGGTGTCTAGGAGATATTGAGTAATAAATAACAAATTACTCCTGTTTTGCCAACAGCGTCAAGGGCCAACAGGGGTTGGGCCTTGTTTGACTGAGCATTGTAAAAACAGTCCTTGAACAGATGCTTGGGTGAAAGAAGCGAAGAGTGGCAGTTTTGTAAGTGGGGCAATGTAAAATGAAGTGTAAAGGGGATGACTGGGGGAGGAAAGACGCGTAAAATTGTTGACCAACGAGAGGGAGACTTTGTGACTCCAAACTTGGTGAGGAAACAATTGGTAAGATCTTGAAAATAACCTGTGGCAGAAATTGGAAGCACTTTTCCCCCCATTTTTATTAATTCCTAAGGGATTTTGTTCTGTTGGGATGTGAAATTTATGTAGAACCTTGTTTATAGTGACTGCAGTACCTCCCTGTTGCAGGCAGCACACAGCGATACTCTTTCAGAAAGCCCCTTCTGAGAGCCCCTGGAGGCTCTTGGAGTTGCAAAGTCCCTGTTACTCCCAGCTCTAATCCCCAGCGGTGGCCTGGGCATTGTAAAGGGCTGTTGACCTTTCCTTGAGCAGAGAGCATCTGAACTCCACAAATCTTTGAGTACTGCTGATTATTCAAAGTGACTGGTATAAATATCAGCGGATTGGAGACATGAAGCACTTCTTTCACTTCTTGTGATGATGGCACAAAAAAGTCTCTTCGTTTCTTCAGAGATTCCCTTCACTTTCTGCCTGTGCCATTTCTGATTAGACTTTTCTCTTGGAGTTTTTTTTGAGTTACGAAATCAACCTCTACAATGTAGAACTGGCTTAGAGAGTTTACAACATAAAGACAAAGTGGAGGCCTTAACACACTGAGAGATCAGTGATTTGACAAAACAAAACAAAGAACCCCAAAATTCTCAGCAAACCAAACATGGAGTGAAGTAATAAGCAACATTTGTACTGAGCTGCAAAATGAAGAAGCCCACACACATTAGAGGCTTTTATAACTGTGTTAGAAGCAAATGTCATAAATTTCTTTTCTTCCATGTGAAAGAGATGCAATAATAGGAAAGATCCTGCTTTCTCTTAGCAGGATGCCAACAGGTGTCTTAAACATATTTGTCAAATACTGCAGCATTCTAAAATGTAGAAAGAACAACTAGATTACCTTAGATTTCTGAAATACCTTAGGAACTGTTTATAGCATATTTTGTAGAATGGATGTTTCTTACTATTTATATTTCTTATTATTTACACAAATTATTGTATAGCACTTTTTCTAATTGATTCAAGTTCCAAAATCCCTATCATATTATTTTTTCAAAGATTATGTCTCTGGTTTTAAAGAGGATGTAGGGAGATGGCATTCTGCTTAGGTTTTAAACTAACCTGCGAAGGCTGAAGGTGTGAGCCATATGTCACTTAGGGATCCCTCTGTGTTTCTGCAGACCTGATGTGTTGCTTAAGCCCATCTACAGCCATAAGGCAAGAGACCTAACATTAGTCTGCAGATAAATGTTGTCTGTACATCTGCTGCTGAATAGGTAAAGGCCAGACTGGTAACTTGGAGATTTTGTTTCCAGTTGGAAAGCAGAGGAAAATACACAGTGGAGGACTAGGATAATTTGTTTTGATTTTTGGGAAGTCTCCTCTAAGAGAGGAGTTTGGTTTTTGGGGGGAAGGAGAGGGAGTTAGTTGGGTGGTATTGTTGGTTTTAGTGGTTTGTTTTTTTCCTGAAGGGTTTGGTACCAAAAGCAAGCGTATGCTGACAGCTGGTAAACTGGAAGTCTGTTTTCTTGCATGGGTGATGGTGTGGGGTCACAAAAGGATATTGCTGTGTGATAGACATGCCTCTCCTTCTCCCTGTGATCTGTACTGTAATGCTTATTACAGCAAAGTCAGGCAAGGACTGCAAACAATTTGAAATGTTCTGCGCCTCAGTATTTTTAAAGAAGTCATCCAGGAAGGGGATGTACAAGCTGGACACTTACAATATATGACATCTGACCATCATTCTGAGAGAGAGTTGATGAATCAGAGGGTATTTTGCATTCTTTCTCTAGATCGCTTCTTTGAGCTTAGCCACAGCTACAGTGACCAAATGTCACTGTCCTTTTGAAGCTCTGCATGGAACAAGTCTAAATTTCTCTCTACTGGTTCTTTGGAAGCAAAGCTCATTGTCCCAGGGCTGCTACCTGAGGCAGGAATCTTCATACCATCCCAGTATGAGACACCAGTGAAAGACTGACTTTCGGGAGTTGCTCCCTTGAGAAAGCTGTGCCCTCAAAACATGAGGGTACAGGATGCAACCTGATTGCCCATGCAAGAGTGGTTCCTTCATTAATGCTAATTTGCTAATTTCAACACTAATATTCTTAGAAAAGTGTAACAGCAGGCAAACAGCTAGTATTTGCCCTAGTTCTGTCACCTGGAAAAGCTCAGCTATACTTTTTGCTGTACAGAATAGGGCAGATGTGATGTAACGTGTCTCTTCCTATGAACAGGGTTATATCTGTAAAATTTGCTTGCTTTCTTTGGTCTTGAAAAGAGCAGCTTGTATCCTTAGCAAGGAGGGAAACTAGTCTGGCATATTTAAGAAAAAAAGTATTACCAATATTCAAAGATCTCACATGTTTCATTAGTATAAAATATACATATCTGCACACAAAAAAGCAAGATTTTTGAAAATACAGAATCTTGAAGAACACTTAAATTTTATTAAGGTTAGGTGTATTGCAGCCAAAGCAGCTTTTTATATATTCCATCTCTTTGCTTCATTTTTTGTACTTCACATCTGATACCTGACAATCACTTCACTGACCCTGAGAGTTATCTGATTTTTGAACTGGAAGTACTGTTTACTTCCTCTGTAAATGCTGACTCAATTGACAGCTCAAAAAAATTCCAAAACCAGAAAATCCCTCTAGCACCTTTATGTGAGAACATCTGCCAGGATGATAGAAATTAGCCTGCATTGCATTTATTTGTTTACTTACCAGTATTATACAGCACTCTTTATATTGCTCTTCAGAGCACAGCCTGCTCGGATGTTCTCCAGGATGGAGTTAGCAGTCTTCAAGTCAGCCTAGTGGGCACAATCCCAAAAATGTATGGTGGATAATTCAGAGGCTGCATAGAATGTCAGTACTTTCTAATCATCAGTGCTTGGGTTAATAAGGATTTGAGGGACATATGTACAGAGAGAGATAAAAGAAACTGTGGTCCAGGAAGTAGGGGCTTGGAGGGGAGAAGTCACAAGGACTCTGTAAGCATGTAATCAGGATGCCTCTCTGGAAAACAAAGATTTGTGTTCCATATGCATTTTGCAATACAGAATCACAATGTAAAAATGCGTAATATCTTTAGGATTATTATAATCCCAGAACAAAGCTCTCTTACTGGGTCATTCCATGACATTTCTGGCACAGTAACATAGCTGAATGTGATGGATGGAGATTTCCACTGCCTCATTCAGCGCATATCCTAGTGGGTTTGGACAAGCTCTGGGATCATGTGCTGGTGAGTTGGATTCCATCTCACAGAGAAAGATAAAGAATCTGTGACAGGGAAGCTCCTGAGGAAGTTATGTGCCTGCTGGCCCTTCATACATTACTGGTGCGATATTTGTCCGAGAACACTTCCCGTTTCACAGGTACCATGTGCATTCCAAGTACCGTGGCTGTTGCTCATTGGGCTGAACTGAGTCCTGTTACTGCCATCCCTGAGGGCCGATGGTGCTGTGTGTGTGGTCTCAGATGTTATCAGACATGAGCTGGTTGCTGAGATGCACAGGTAGGATAGGAACATTTCAGGGCACACACCTTAGTAGGACTTTGGATAGCTGGAGCTTGCTGCAAAAGCTCTGGTTCTTACTGATTTTTTGCGGTTGGTGGAGTTTTTGTTATTCAGTTTTGTTTCCTATCTAAAGCCACTTGACTCCTTGTTGGTGTGGAGTAGCTTGCTCCAGTCCTGCATCGAGTAATTTCTTTTCTTTAATATAAATAAATAAATAAATAAATAACGTAGTCTCTAACACTTTGAGCCACAGAGCTGCTTACTCTTATTTCACTGTTGTGACAAATCATTTGAGCTTCATGAAAGCCCTACTGGCCAATCTCAACTCTTTTCCCTCTGTTTTCTTACAGGCTCTGATACTTCACCAGCTCGGGCGCTATAGCTTGGCAGAGAAGATTCTCAGAGATGCCGTCCAGGTCAACTCTACAGCCCACGAGGTCTGGAACAGCCTGGGAGAGGTGCTACAGGCTCAAGGCAATGATGATGCTGCAACTGAATGCTTCCTGACGGCACTGGAGCTTGAAGCGAGCAGTCCTGTGGTTCCTTTTACCATCATTCCCAGAGTCCTTTGACAGGGCATCCTGATCAACCGATTTTTGGTCTGACTTCTGGATGAGGAGACCCAGTGTATCAGACTGCCTGGTAACTGGTGTAGTTTGAGAACCTTTAGAGCAAAGAACCTTTAGGTCTTTGGCAGGCAAGTGGCCAAAACAGTGAGGTGACACAACACATTAATGTTGGACTGAGAGGATGGAATGGTGAAGCCAGAGCCAAATCACTCATATCGCCTGCGGTTTTGCCCTGGTAGTTTTAAAACATCATTATGTTGTTCATGGATGATGTGCCATATTTTGTTAGTGATACTTGAGTGTTACATAAAATTATAATGGAATCAACTACCGATTGTAGAATAAGTTAAAATTCAGTGGCAGAGCAGACTATTTTTAACAAGGCTGTTAATAAAACTGTTCTCTTCCTGCCTCTCAATCTCTTTTGGCCTAAAGTCAAAATGTGAATTTTCTGTTTCCATCTCTATTTTAGTCCAGGCCAGAAAATCAGTTGAGTTCTTGGTTTTAGTTGTTAATAACTGTGATGTGTGGCTAACTGTTATCTAGAGCAAAGGCTGAGTACAAGAATATTTATATTTTACGATGTATGCCTGTTACAAAAATATATATTAGTTATTTAAGTTTAACTTTTTTATGTGAATTCAGAGTTTATTTATCAATGGAAATATGTAAAAAGAAGCCTCAAATGGAATATTTACCGACATTCCTTATACATGACCCACACTTGGCTAAATGGGAAGATAATGTTAATAATAAAATGATTTTTAAATGGAACCTTCCTTGTGTCCTGGTTAAGAATCAGGGGGAAAAGATGGCTTGTGAACGTATTATTATGATGGGGCTGGCTGGTCTCGAAGATGAACAACACCAAAATTAAATGTATGAGGCTGGTCTAGAGAAGAGAAGCTGCTATACTCTTTGCCAATGGTATTGTTATCTTAGATTTCAGGTTTCCTTAAATCCTCACTACTCTGTTTTTATTCCTTCCCCTTCAGCTCTCAGTGAAGCCAGATTACCCTGCCTCTACATAATACATGGACATTTACATATAGCTTGGTAGTGCTTGGGAAGAGCATGTTAAATATTTACACAATATTGTTTGGTTTTCCTTATTGTCTTCATAGTTCTTTCTCAACATCTCCTGTACTTCGTATCCCTTGAAGGGAAAGTTGGCTGGTTTAGTAGAAAAATACTTGCCAGAGATTCTCTGGGATGTGTGTGGAGAAGAATCACTGTTGCAATGAATTTTCAGTGTGTGTGAGCTGTGGTTTTCTAGTGTCTGCCCATTTACAGCATTGGGTACACTTGGAGCCTGGGAAGAGTTCCAGGTTCCCCATTAGACTGGGTGCTCCTTGATACTTGCCTGATTTGTCACAAGAAGTGGTTTTAAAGTGCTTAGTACAAGATAGCAGATGATTCAGAGAATAACAGCAAATGTTTTTCTTTGTCACTGACCTGAGAGCTTACTCACCTCAAATGCATGGAGGATCCTCACTGTGACACAGACTCCATGTGCTCCAGTGAGCATCTTCAAATGGCAGAAGACTTAAACCTGGGGGAGCTCTTCCGTTTTTCCCCTTGGCATTTCATGTGCCCGTTAGGCTGAGGCTACTTTCAAATTGTATCTGCGTAGTGCTTGGACTATGTGTTCTCTGTAAAATGGATCAAACCCTGTAATAGGTAGAGTTTTCAAATCTATTTAAAAGGCAGTAGAAATTGTGTCATCTTGCTCACTGCGAAAAACATCAGTTTTGTTTCCCATTTTTGAGTCCCTGTTTGGCATGTTTTCTTCCTACTGTCCTTGGCTTTCGTTTTTGCTTTTCTATTTGCCAACTGTTCTTGCTTTTCTAATCCCAGCTCGTAATTTGTGCTCTGGCCCTGCTGTCTTTTAGCACCCACTACATGATACCAGAAGATAGTGCAAAACTCTGTTTGTTTAATTCAGTTCCTCCTGAGCCTTTTTCCTATCCCACTTCGCTAGTTACATTTGTGATACCTTTCACAGGTATGCTTCTTCACATTATTCACTCACCTTTTATTATAATAACAAAGCTTTTCTAACAAGGCAACTTGCACCTAGGTCTGAGGCGGGTGGTCTTTCTCAAGAGAGCTTCAGACAAAAGTAGAGATAGGAGAATTCTGTGATAGAATTTAGCTCTGATTCCTCTCATTTAATTTCAAGTCCTGACCTCTTGATAAACTCCCAAAGTGGAAAGGTTAGCAATCTAATTGCGTCATGTCTTTTATTAGTGGAGAAATTGTCACTGCTGTTGTGCATATCAGGTGAACCTGAATATCTGTTTCCTTTTTCTTGCACTGGAATCAGTTTCACTGTAAATCCACAAGCTTCTGCCTCTGGGGAATAGCCTCAGCTACCTATTTTTAAAAATGGATTATCGCTGTAAGACTGTACATTTAGGAATTTTCAGGCAGAAGTGGAAATCCTTGCAGCATATGAATTAAACAGCAATGCTTGTTTAAACATGGGTTTCAAGTTAAAAAAACAAGTTGCTAGGTTTTACAGCTGCATTTTTTCCTTTTTTTTTTTTAATCAAGTAAGAAGGCCAAGAATATTTTTGTATCTGTTTTAGTTGCTATACAGAAAGATCTGTCTTTTGCCAGCAGGACCAGGGAAGTGATCCTTCCCCTGTACTCTGCATTGGTGAGGCCACACCTTGAGTATTGTGTTCAGTTCTGGGCCCCCCAGTTCAGAAAGGATATTGAGGTGCTGGAGCGGGTCCAGAGAAGAGCAACAAAGCTGGTGAAGGGACTGGAGCATAAGTCCTATGGGGAAAGGCTGAGGGAGCTGGGGTTGTTTAGCCTGGAGAAGAGGAGGCTCAGAGGTGACCTCATCACCGTCTATAACTACCTGAAGGGAAGTTCTAGCCAGGTGGGGGTCGGTCTCTTCTCTCAGGCACTCAGCAATAGGACAAGGGGGCACGGGCTTAAGCTCCACCAGGGGAAATTTAAGTTGGATATCAGGAGAAAATTCTTTACAGAGAGAGTCATCAGGCATTGAAATGGGCTGCCCAGAGAGGTGGTGGATTCACCATCCCTGGAGATTTTTAAACGCAGATTGGACGTGGCACTGAGTGCCATGATCTAGTAAATGGACTGGATTTGGACCAAGGGTTGGACTCGATGATCTCGGAGGTCTTTTCCAACCCAATCGATTCTATGATTCTATGATTCTATCTGTTCTCAGACCACCATAGTTTCTCAGTCACAAGACTGAAGGAAGAAATGCTGAGGTGCACAGCCAGTCCCAGGAAGTGTTCCCTTGGTTGCCAGTGGGTCATCCACATGAGGGTTGTTCCTCGACTTTGTGGCTGACAAAATCTCTATGTGGATACACAGTCTGTGTGTACTTTTGCTCCCCCAGCCTGTGTCAGGAATAAGAGCTGTTCAGGTGAGCGGTGAGATAAATCAGGGGCTGATCCTGCTGAAAACTACACCAATCCCTTGCTCCCTTGCCCAAGGGTTTTACTAAGCTTTGGGTAGGAGCTTTGTGAAGGCTTCAGGCAGTTCTTTGGTCTGATTTGCTGCACCAGTAGTAACACACACAGAAGAGAAGATGACTTACCCTCCACTGGGCAGCCCCTACTTAGACCAGTTTAAAACAGGTATTAAGTTGCATTGTCAAGCACTCAAACTGTATCTCAATAGTAACAAGCTATACAAGCCTGAGATCTCCAGCCTTTCAACAGGGATTAAAAGCACTTTTCTCTCATCCATAAGACTGGAATAGCAGGTTGCAGAGGAGAATTCCCTTACTCTGCAGTGTGCTTGTGCTACTCAAAATGATTAACATTTGGTGTACTAGGCATGTGTGTAAGTGCAATGTCTGTTGCACTTGATAAAAGGTCTGACTCCACAGTGCCTGCAATAAGAAAACTGATCATTCAAGTAATTGGTAAAAGTTCATCTCTAATTTTGGTGCAGATAACCGTTTTTACTCTATGAATTATTTAATTTCTTCTTTTGCTTTCATGATTGATAGAGAATCACAGGAATAAGAACCAATCCAAGCAGAATTAATCCAACTGTATCTTTGAAAACTTTTGTCATTAATTATATGCATTTTAAACATCAAAGGCTATTGTAAAAATTGTTTTAATTTTCCTTGAAAATCTTTTTTTTCCCTGAGTAACCTGTTCTATTCTGGAATGATAGCATAAGCCTGGGTATATCAGAGTTCCAGATTTACCTTGCTAATTCTTTGTTTATTCAGTTGTCAGTTATAATGATATTTTTCTTAACTGTCAATCTGGCAATCATTCTTTCTCTAGCATCAAGTTAAAAAACTTATATGCTAAAATATGCTTTCAGTAAGTACACTTCTCTAGCATTTCATCTATTTAACCTCATCATTTCCAAACTACCTTTTCCAGTCCCACTGGAGGGCTATGCTGGAATGTGTGGCGCTCCCACATGGATCTCTATTATCACAAGAACTAGCTGGTAAGGATCCTACTCGTGGACAATAGGAAAGTCAGAGTATTCAGCTTTTGTCATGTGTGGCTGTCATAACTGATTGTGTGAAATTTGCTGGGAATCTTTCAAACTTGCAAAGCCATCAAGTGGGCTAAAAGAAATGGGACAGTGAAATTAAACCTAAAGAAAATGGGAAAGAATTGCATCCCCAAGCTTTTTTTTGGAAAGAGGAATGTGTGTGGGGTGGATGTTGGTCAGACTTTGTTCTTTGCCGTTGCAGGGACACATGGTCCTGATTGCCACCACCTTGGTCACCTGGCCTTTCTAGTTCCCAGTTTAAAGCACCTTTGTAGCCCAGGTGTCTGGGCTCCCCAGTTTTTATATCAAAGAGAGAAAATTCTACCTATTAATTTCTAAATCCTTTGAAAAGATGTGACCACTTCTGTCCAGCTCCTGTTCCATACCAGGTCATGGGGCAGAAAAGCACTAGATGCCACCGCACTGTCATTTCTGGCCGGACATTTCCGGAGTACAGCAGCTGACAGATGTGATCTTTTGGATGCAGTCCATGAAGCATGGCAGGAACACACAGCAAAGCTTCTGAAGGGAGGAAAGAGTGCTTTTGCCTTTCTAAATCTGCCTTCACTTAGAAAACTTACTTGGAGGAACTCAGTGAAAAAAACTATTTTGGACACTAAAGGGTCAATGAAATGTTTCATTACTGTACTGAGTTCTTTTCCTTTGTGTCCTTACATGAGGCAGACATCTCTGTGGGAGAGATTACCCTTGTCTGCTTCATCCAGGTATAAATCTCTACAGCCTGCTCCCCTTGCCCAAATTGGGACTAGCATGACTAGCTCTTGGCTCCCTCTCTGCCTCTAGAACTGCCTCCCCAAGGAAGTGACGCTCTTCAATATGAAATTACTGAAGGTACCCTGTCTATCTAACATGAAAAAATAATCAGTAGACAATTAAATAAGGTAATTATAGTATTTGTTGGTTATTACCACAGTGACATGGCTTTAAAAACATGCAGGTTTAGTGCTTTTCTGTTTTTTTCTATAGCTGAGCCCACTCCTCTGTGAGGACAGTAAAGCTGAGGGTCTCTCTGATGTATACAACTAAAGAACAAACATCTGATCAGCATGTGTGCCCCTGGGTTTGCTACCAAAGAGAAAAAAGGACTTACTTACCAATTCTTAAGTGTAATTTTTTTCTACACACATGCATGTGCTCACAGGTTACAGGTGCATTTTATACTTCAAGCAGAAAGTTCTGAAAGTAAGTTCCTGTGCGAGTTCACTCCAGCTCCTGTAAAGCAAACTCCTCTTATAAACAGG